TGTCACCTAAAAGAATGGCAAAGGGGAGATCTTCAAACAGAAAGGAGATGATAAAAGAGGAAACTTGAGGCATCAGGACTGAAGCAAGAACAAGGGAGTAATAAAAACACGGGCGAGTGAACCAGACTTTCCTCCTCGCTGGAGCAGGGCAGGCGCGGGGTGGAACAGCGTCCCAGCGGCCTGCAAGTCCCCAGCACAGCTCACGCAATTAGCCACCATCAAGGGACAAAGTGAAGGAGCATATGTGAAATATTTCGAGCCTCTGCTGAATGCCAGTTAGTGTGCTTGTAAAGGTCCTTTACTGTTTAAGACATTTTGCGGAGGGTTTTCTGTTACTTGAAGCTGTCAGCTTCCTAACTGACAAGACAACTTGTTTACCAAGACTTTCCATCCAAAGGCCCTGTGCTGAGGGGAATGTAATGACTAAACTGGAAAACCGAGGCGAATCCTCCTCACTAGGGTGACCCCTAACCTAACCCCCCTGAGCACAGCCACATCCTTGCTGCGGACTGTGTGGCACAGACAGGCTCACCAGAGAACCTTTCCCAAGCAGATAAGAGTTGCTTCCCTAGAAGGGCAAGCAGGTGAGAACAGACTTGACCCCGCTGGACCAGAGACAGGGGCAGGTGGCGCTCCGGGCGCCGAAGGGAACCGCTCTGTGTTCAGATCTGCTTCCCACCACACCGTGGGCAGGATATCAGCACACCGCAGCCCATCCAGTGGGACGAGAACCCACAGGGAGGTACCCTAGGCCACAGTACGTAAGCGAGAGAGCAGGCCGAGCTGAAACGGACCCAATGGGGAATGCAAGGCCTCTGCTGAGCCCCTGAAGGGAAGCAAGCCACGGTGGGGCGGGCTTGGCTACATGGCGCCAAGGCCAGCTTGCTACAGAGTGGGTGCACAGGGGATGAACTTTCTGGCATGCTAACAAACAGAGGCAGAGAACTCTCCATCCTTAGGAAGGTGTGAGAAGCCAGACAGCACCCTCCCAGGATGGTTAATGGGAATCCAGCCTCCCAGCCCCCGACCCCATGAAGAGCACTTAGCGCTCAGTGACACAGTGTCTGCTTTTCAGACGGATCCTAGGTTCCATTCCAGCTACATTCTGGAATCATGCTATTGACCAGACCTGCCCCAGGACCAATGGGAATCTCCAGCCCAGCCATTCCCCAGTTGTGTTTTGGAGAACAAATATAAATGCAAAAAAAAAAAAGAAAAATTTTGGTTAAGAAAGTTTGGGAAACATGAAATGTTGAGCTGGTTTCTTAACTATACCATGTCTCAAGGCCTTTAGTATGTTTTATGTATTATAATGCTCCAGTAAGGGGTAGAGTATGATGCCATTTCCAAATATATATGACTATAGGGCTAGAGTTTTAAGGAACACATGTTGCAAAACAATTCAATGATCTGTCTTAAAGTTTCCAAGGCAACTAGACCAGAGTTCAAGCCCAACTGAACAATTTTATAATTCAGTCAAATTATATTTTACCTCTTGGGATTTTTGAGACAAATCAGGTCTCAAGAAAGATGTCGAGATCAGTCAAAGTGTTCATTTACCGCTCCAGCTGGTACCAGGACATCATTATTTCACTCCAAAAATGTCATCAGAAGCAGAAGAGGAAGAAAAACCTTTCAGAGAAAAAATTAATAACCTCAGAGAAGACATAAAAAACAGCCTTGAGGTGAGAGGGGATGTATCTTCCCACCATTAGAAAGTCAGTCAAGGATCTCCCCACCCCGCCCCCCAATCTTTTCTCTAAAAACTATAAACTACCACAAATGCAGGCTTTTTTGAGTGATTTCATCCCCCTCTGGAATATGACTGACAAATACTTCCCCAAGCCCCCCACCTGTTACCCGAGCAGTCAGCGTCAGGGAGTTTTCAAAGGCGAGAAGTCCCAGGCCCACTTCCTCAGCCTCCCAGCTTACTGGTCGCCAGCAGCCTGAGCCATCAGCCAGGGCTCCCGGGGAGGGGGAGGGGAGGAGAAGACGTGCACATCTTCTCCCAAAACACAAGCCAGCACCGGCCAGGGGGAGTCAGGCCCACACTGGACTCTGGACCCTGGCTCTGTTTGATGTGGAAGGAAAGAAAAGACTCTTGTTTCTCACTGTTCCCCTGGGTGACAGTTACCATGGATATTAATCAATTTTTGGTGCCTGTCAGCTGTTAGTTGAATCTAAAGAGCAAGCTCTCCCTGAGCCACTGTCATGCAGAAACACACATGGGAGACAGAGACAGCAAGCCCAGGTCCACTGATGGAGGGGATGCAGCAGGCGCCTGCTCCAGGGAGCCCACCTTGGGTTCCTACCATGGCATGCATACATGCACACAGGTCCACACAGTACATACTCCCATCAGAAGTAATTTGACATGGATGGATACTGATAAACTCTTTTTACCCCTCATTAATATGCAGGACATTCAGAACTCTAAAGAACACTTCCTGGAATTCCCTAAGGAAATACCCAAAAACAAGTCCCTGAGCAGGCCTTCTAATAACTCACTTAGTAATCAGAGCTACCATTTATTTGCAAATCTAAGCACTCTATGGGTATGAGCTCATTTATCCTCAATCAGCCCTTAGGGTAGATACTCTTATTATCCCCACTCTACAGACAAGGAAACTGAGGCTCAGAAAAATCACCCAGGCAGCAGTGGTAGGGCCAGGGTTAGAAGCCATTTATTTAGTTCCATAGCAGTTCTGCTGTACCTTCAGGACGTCTGGGGTCCAGACCCAGCTTTGTCCTTGTGGCCTCATGCAAATTCCTTAGACGTTCCTGTACTCCATTCTCTCATCTCTACAATGGGAATAAAACTATTCTCCCTATTATGTCTTAGGACTTTAAGAATCATGTCAAAAGTAATCCAAATTTAGGGAAGAGAAAAAGGGAGGAAATTAGCATTTATGAATCTTCTACTATGGGCCAGAGTAGTTACATTGTTGCTTATAATGACTTACCTCTAATTCTGCAGGAAAGATAAGGACCCCAAGGGAAAGCCACATGTCAAAGACCTCATCGACAGCAAGCCCAAGACCCTAGATCCGAACAGAGGTCTATTGGTTCCAAAATTTTTGCTTTTTACGTTTTTGTTTCTCTGTTTTTGTACACCAACATCCTATGGGTACAAAAAGAATACATTAGCATTAATAACCCAAGTCCCCTTGGGACTCTAATCTTCTGGAACCCTCATTTGCCAGTGTGGGCACGTCCTGCAGCACGGGCCACAAATAGGCTACAGCTTCTGACTTCTGCGCTTGGGAGGGGTGTCCACCCAAGCCCAAGATATGCCCCAGCTATGAGTCCCCTGTCACTCATTGCTCTGTCTCACATCCTGCCAGGCAGCTAGCTACAGACCCTATATTCTCACCTTTAAGTGGGGCTACAACCAGAACTGAAGATCACATGGCAAATCCCAGCCCCCACGGCTGGCCTCTTGTGCAAACCTAGCAAAGCTCCTGAAGCCCAGCTAGAATCCCCCTGAAACCTCTGTGCAGAATATCATCATGCAACACAGGCGGCCATCTGCCATCCTTGCTGCAATTAGTGGCAGCACGTTCTGCTGCTGAGATCAAAGAGCAAATATCCCGTATCCCGTATCCCTCTCCTGCTGATCTTCCCAGAGCTCTCAAGGCTGCAGGGTGATGGCCTCATCCATCCCAGGGTCAGGGGAGTCTGCTTGGGGGACCTGCTGAAGTCCTGACTGTGACCACAGCAGAAGCAGAGTCTAAGGACCCTGTGAGTAGTTTCCTCCCAGAAACCCATCCAGCGTGTACATCCAGTGTGAAGGTGTAAAGGACCAAGACGGCCTCATCTCCACCAAACTGACAAAAAGGGCCGACTCAGGGAGAAGGTGAAAGGAGGGGGAGAAAAGAGAGACAGAGGCAGAGAGACAAGAGACAGTGTCTGTGACCACAGAGCATATCTCTGAGTGTAGAAGCCAAGGTGGTCATGTACAGAATTTGTGTCATGGGAAAAAATAAGAATTTAACTGTTATAAAGAGAGGCCTTAATGGAAAATAGAAGAAGTAGAGAGAATAAAGGTACTTAGGGTTGAAAGAAGTGGTTTTGTATTTAATGCTCTGCTGGCTCTATAGTCTTAAGCTCGTGTCATAGTATCTCTGGGGCCTTGTACTGCACACCTGTGAGGTGCTGGTTGCTGGACACAGCACCAAAATATTTTATTTCATCTTCACAACCATCCTCTGAGTCGCACTTTTCTTCATTTTGCAGATGAGGAATTGAAACTTGAAGAAGGTAAGTGGTTTGCCAAAGGTCACAGAGTAAGTGCCCGAGTGGGTCCCACCACTGTACCTCCGAAGCACTTGCCACCCTGAATACCTTTCCCAGAACAGGCATCCTAAGCCGGCCAGCCACCACCTCTGGCAGGGTCCCTCTAGGACATTTCATGATGAAAACTACAGTGGCCTCTTTGCTTTTTTTCTCTTTAACTTTAAAAGATCCAAATTAATAAACAGTCCAGACTTGGACAAATTTCTTGAAATCGGACATCCATAAAAAATGTTCTCTGTCTTCGCCCACTTAAACTATGCATTTGATGACAAACAAGCCCTTGGGGGCCTAAAAGTGCAATGTCAAATCTGCTGCTTTTCTTTCTCTATCTCTCTCTCTTTTGGTTAAATAAAAGTCTTTCCCTGCAAATGTTTGCATTTGCAGACTTGCAGACTCTTTAAAAACAAAAAACAATTACGGTTTTCTTTTACACATGATACTTCTCAAGCCCAGAGTCTTGCAAATGTCCCTGAAATGCAGTAAGCTCTTTTGTGAAACTCATGAGCTGTCATGATGCAGACGAAAACTGAGTGCCATTTCTCCTGCTTTTTAGGGGAGTTGGCAGCTGTTACAAACCATTGTTCAGGTGGGAATAGTATGGTCTTATGTTTGTATTTTTAGATACATATGCACATAGAAAAGTCTGGAAGAATATATGTAAAACAGTATTTCTGCTTATTTCAGGATGGAGGGGATTATGAATGATTTTTACTTCAATTGGTATTTCAAGGTTTCTCTACTATGAACATAGATTGCTTACATGCATTTTTAAATTACTATAATAAAACTATGTAGTCACATAAAAAAGATCAATAATCAGAAGTTAAATGAAATTTCTCCTTCTGGCATGAGAGAGTAACATAGACCAGATTTACCCTCCCACAATAAACAATTACAGAACCAGACAAAATATATGAAACAATCAGCCCTTAGGGTAGATACTCTTATTATCCCCACTCTACAGACAAGGAAACTGAGGCTCAGAAAAATCACCCAGGCAGCAGTGGTAGGGCCAGGGTTAGAAGCCATTTATTTAGTTCCATAGCAGTTCTGCTGTACCTTCAGGACGTCTGGGGTCCAGACCCAGCTTTGTCCTTGTGGCCTCATGCAAATTCCTTAGACGTTCCTGTACTCCATTCTCTCATCTCTACAATGGGAATAAAACTATTCTCCCTATTATGTCTTAGGACTTTAAGAATCATGTCAAAAGTAATCCAAATTTAGGGAAGAGAAAAAGGGAGGAAATTAGCATTTATGAATCTTCTACTATGGGCCAGAGTAGTTACATTGTTGCTTATAATGACTTACCTCTAATTCTGCAGGAAAGATAAGGACCCCAAGGGAAAGCCACATGTCAAAGACCTCATCGACAGCAAGCCCAAGACCCTAGATCCGAACAGAGGTCTATTGGTTCCAAAATTTTTGCTTTTTACGTTTTTGTTTCTTTGTTTTTGTACACCAACATGCTATGGGTACAAAAAGAATACATTAGCATTAATAACCCAAGTCCCCTTGGGACTCTAATCTTCTGGAACCCTCATTTGCCAGTGTGGGCACGTCCTGCAGCACGGGCCACAAATAGGCTACAGCTTCTGACTTCTGCGCTTGGGAGGGGTGTCCACCCAAGCCCAAGATATGCCCCAGCTATGAGTCCCCTGTCACTCATTGCTCTGTCTCACATCCTGCCAGGCAGCTAGCTACAGACCCTATATTCTCACCTTTAAGTGGGGCTACAACCAGAACTGAAGATCACATGGCAAATCCCAGCCCCCACGGCTGGCCTCTTGTGCAAACCTAGCAAAGCTCCTGAAGCCCAGCTAGAATCCCCCTGAAACCTCTGTGCAGAATATCATCATGCAACACAGGCGGCCATCTGCCATCCTTGCTGCAATTAGTGGCAGCACGTTCTGCTGCTGAGATCAAAGAGCAAATATCCCGTATCCCGTATCCCTCTCCTGCTGATCTTCCCAGAGCTCTCAAGGCTGCAGGGTGATGGCCTCATCCATCCCAGGGTCAGGGGAGTCTGCTTGGGGGACCTGCTGAAGTCCTGACTGTGACCACAGCAGAAGCAGAGTCTAAGGACCCTGTGAGTAGTTTCCTCCCAGAAACCCATCCAGCGTGTACATCCAGTGTGAAGGTGTAAAGGACCAAGACGGCCTCATCTCCACCAAACTGACAAAAAGGGCCGACTCAGGGAGAAGGTGAAAGGAGGGGGAGAAAAGAGAGACAGAGGCAGAGAGACAAGAGACAGTGTCTGTGACCACAGAGCATATCTCTGAGTGTAGAAGCCAAGGTGGTCATGTACAGAATTTGTGTCATGGGAAAAAATAAGAATTTAACTGTTATAAAGAGAGGCCTTAATGGAAAATAGAAGAAGTAGAGAGAATAAAGGTACTTAGGGTTGAAAGAAGTGATTTTGTATTTAATGCTCTGCTGGCTCTATAGTCTTAAGCTCGTGTCATAGTATCTCTGGGGCCTTGCACTGCACACCTATGAGGTGCTGGTTGCTGGACACAGCACCAAAATATTTTATTTCATCTTCACAACCATCCTCTGAGTCGCACTTTTCTTCATTTTGCAGATGAGGAATTGAAACTTGAAGAAGGTAAGTGGTTTGCCAAAGGTCACGGAGTAAGTGCCCGAGTGGGTCCCACCACTGTACCTCCGAAGCACTTGCCACCCTGAACACCTTTCCCAGAACAGGCATCCTAAGCCGGCCAGCCACCACCTCTGGCAGGGTCCCTCTAGGACA